GGTGTAATGGTATTTGAGACTTGAGATGTGTAGATGTGGCACTCAGGGACGTGGTTTAGCGGAGGATTTGGCAGTGGTGGTTTAATCGTTGGACTTGATGATCTTAAAGGTCTTTTCCAACCTGAAGGATTTTATGATTCCATGACCAGGTGCAAAAGTGAGCAGGATATGGGGTCTGAACCCTTGTGGGGTGTTTTGAGGGAGTCACTTGATGGGCGATGTTCTGTGGGACACATTGTTAATGTGCCCTCTGGGAAGTTGGTATTTACCTTGGGGTGCATGTAATTAATTGGCTGTGAGCCACAGGAAATAGAATTCATGTACTTGCAAGCATCTTGTAACCTGTTTCTTGGCAGGAAAACGGTAGCTGGGTTAGTACACCATCTGATAGTACTTGAATGCCTGGTGAGGACGAATAGCTCTCAGCCTCCTGGCCGAGGTTTGTATTGGACTGAGACCCTGCCGTCCCCTCGGCAGCTCATTCACAGCCGCTGTGCGGGCTCCCAGGTATTTCCAGCAGCTCCCTGTGTAACTGGGTGAAGGGGGAGCTCATTCCCTTCTCTCCTCATCTTTTCAGTGGCTCCACATCTGTGTGTGAACAGACTGGAGCCTGAGGTGGTGTGTACAGCGGGTGTTTGCTGTGACCGCACCCGGGCCTTCCTGGGGAATGCAGAAGGAATATTGGGCTGAATATAGGCCTTTTTGCGTGCTTATTTACTGAGTGTTAACAGTGCCCTTTAAAAAGCCTGACATGGAGGTAAGGGCTATTTTTAAGCAGAAATTATGGGTTACATTGACTTTGAAAAAAAGATAGGAGTGATTTGAAATACCAGCTGTCCTAGGAACTCCATAAAGCGCTTAATCTGGTGCTTTTCAGGACTTCTAGTTTGGGTGTCTGTGCTGCCAAGCCACTTTTGATGTGTGAACACTTAAGAAGAGAGCACACTTCTTCTCTTTACAAGGTGTAGCAGGTGGACATGAGCTGAACGTACCTACAGATCTTAACATGGGGTGGTGCATGGTGAATCTTTTCGGCATGAACGTGGTGCTCAAGGGCCTAGCAAGACCAGGCGAGAGGTTTAAAACAAGGATTTGCAGGAGCAGCAGTTCCTACGGTTACGGTAGTGGGATGCAGTACTCTCGCAAGCAATTAATTGCTTGTTAATGACATATTAACATGATGTGCATTTTGCATAGTTCCTAACTGGTGTTTAAATGTTTAATAGTGGTAAAAGTCTTCTCATTAGTGCTGTGAGCTCGTTTGGCGGGGGGGTTCTGCTGGGCTGGCTGTCACAGAGGCTCGGCAGCTCTGTGCAGAGCTGAGAGCTCATCGCCCAGTGTCCATCCTTATTTAAAGTAGGTAGAAGTGCAGTAGAGGATTAAAAACCTTCCCTGGAGTTTCTTTTGGCCGTGGGGCTAATGAAGCCCTGAGTTGAGGTACGGTTTGACCATGAAACATGACCTCTGGCTTTGGCTGCTCTGGGGGGATGGGGAATCCTGCCCTGAATTTGAAAGCGCCACCCATGCAGCCATCGAGTCTGGTACTGTTCTCGTCGTGTGCTCCGCAGTCTCAGTCACCGTGCTTGGCCATCGCTGGGGCCGCAAAGGTGCTGAAAGATTTAAAAACCTCGTGGAGCGAGCAGGCCGCTGGCTCCTCTTCCTTAGCTCAATTCTGCGCTGCGCTCCTTCCTGCTGCTGGCTGCAGGTAATGTAGTGGCATCACTGCAAAACTGAGGTGATTTTAAGTTCTCTGTTGCTGCTTTTGTGTAGAATAGTGGCTTTCAGCAGTAATTTACAGTCTCAGTGTAACACTTCCTATCCCTGCTGGCCAGGCACGGTACCAGTGCTGCCCTGCCGAAGACAGCCGCAGCTTTTGTGGTGGAGCGGGGAGACGGGTGCCTGTTCAGCTGTCAGAGGGGTCTGAGCCCTCTGCCCCTTACAGATTGTGTCTCTCTTGTCAAGCTGCTGTCAGAGTCATTTCTGAGATGTGGTTCAACTATAACTCACCAGCTGGGGTAGTATTTTGTAGGTCAGGTTCAGTAACTAAGGTGGTTTCCAGGGGGAAGTAACGTTACTCAAAGATGTGTGTTTCTCGACTGTAGTGGTGAAAATCAGAGGCCAGAACATTCCTTGAGTGAGCAGGGCTTACAAACAGGCAGTAGAACGTGTTGTCTACACTGTGCATAAAAGTTCATACTAAAAGCCATCATTTTTGTTCTAGAGGGACTCTGAATATGTCTGGCATAGCGCTTAGCAGACTGGCACAGGAGAGAAAAGCCTGGAGGAAAGACCATCCGTTTGTAAGTGTGCCGTCAGTGTTCTGACTTTCATTTTTCTCTTTACCCTGATGAGACTTTTCTTAAATTATTTTTTTAAATAAGAGCTGCTTAAAAAACTTAGTAGCACACAAAAAAGTAACTGTGTAAAGACACGTCATGAAGTGTTCATGTACGTTTTCTGAAACGCTCACCCTTTGACTTTTTGCCTTCATTCAGGGATTTGTAGCAGTACCTACAAAAAATCCAGATGGCACGATGAATCTAATGAACTGGGAGTGTGCTATTCCAGGAAAGAAAGGGGTAAGGCTGACTGTTGTCCTAACATCTCGCTTAGGGTGAAACGTACCGTGGGCCTGTTGCTGCGTCACGCTGCCACCCGGGTGTAATGCACAGAAATGCTGGGATCCTGCCGCTACTTCACAATCCCGGTGGAGTGGGCTGGGGGTGCTGTTGGACCAAATACACCGTGAGCCTGTTCGGGTGTTGGCACTGGCCACCTTAGCAATAGCAGTTTTTAGAGGAGTGTGCGAGAATCCTGCCTTGAGCAAACTTGCGACTGTCTCCCGCTTCCAGCCAGCGTCTGCGTGCCTTCGGTTCCTGCTTAATGCTGGTTTAAGTCCAAAGGCTGGAATACGAATGCTGCGGAATGTTGCCTCTGCGTTAACTACCCTTTTTGTCCAGAGCACAGTGAGACCCTTTGGTCCTAGAGATGTGCTGTGGCACTGGTTTTAACTTCGTGGATTTAATGCAAAATAGAAAAAGATGGAGTCTGAGACTATCTGTTACCAAATACAGACTAGTGACCCTTGTTCACTGCAGGAACACGACTCTACTGTCCTTTTTGCCCATCTGTGGGATTTTTTAGCCACATTCTCATGAGGCAAAATAGAAACTGTTTACATGCACATGCTTAAGGGGTGTATCCATGTCCTGCCTCTCAGACTTATTTCAGGTGGGAGTGTAGTGGCCCCTTCCAGCTGTGTGGGTACTGTGGGGAACTTCTGTTCTCCCATGGTCTATGGAAATGTTACTTGTCTATGGAATTACCAATGGTGATCCCAACTGTTGATGGCTCAACAACACTTACAGGCTGTAGCGAAGTGGAAGAGCAGGGTTTTCTTTCTTCAACGCCCTATGTAGTAGGATAACTTGTCCTGGTCCAGCGGTGTGTGGCAGTATGGGACAGCTGTTTCCCACTGTGTAGCGGAAGGATGCCGCGTGCTTCGCCTGAGAAGCTGTGTTCTTGTTAAGCTTTTTTCCACAAGTTTGACTTTTCCCTTATTTAATCTAAACTCCACGGTACTTTTTTATAGACACCATGGGAAGGAGGCTTATTTAAACTACGGATGCTTTTCAAGGATGACTACCCTTCTTCACCCCCAAAATGTAAGTAAAATGCCTAAATCCCACAGGTTAGGTGAGACAATGTGAAACGGGCCCGTGGGGCTCTGTGAATGGTTATTGCTTCCACACAGAGGGTTTTTTTTTTAAGGAAACTTGCTTTATTCTTTTTCACCCACTGCTCTTAGAAAACTGGGATGAAATGAGTGAAGTGCTCAGTATAACACAGTCGGGAGGCGAGGGGGATTGCTGTGTGGGCTTCCTCAAAGCTCCACGACAGCAGCACTTGAAGTGTTCGCTGCTAGGTCAGCGCTCTGGAGAAACTGATAGGTAGGCGTGGTTAGACCAAATCCCTTTGCATGTTCTTACTGTTAAGTTGGTCTTTCTAAACCAAGAACTGGGGAAAAAATAATAGGGGAAAAAAAAAATTTCCATCAACTGTAACATTTTCACTGACTTCTTTGAGCCACCGACCTGTTCTTGTTCTGATGCCCTGTGCAACGGGGATCTCCAGATACCTGCTCTCCTTGTGAAGTTTTAGTTTTCCTTGTCCCACCTCAAACTTAACCTACTTCAGAAATCTGAAAACATCTGTTGCCTTGCCTGTTTCCTGGTCCGTGAATCAGCTGGCGCCTCACGTCAGTGACAGCGACTACAAACGGCTCTTGGACAGTGGTTCATTTCTCATTTTGCTTCAGTGTTTCAGCTGTATCGTGTGCCTCGGCTACTCCTTTTGTTTGCTACCACTCACATGCCTGTGACACGGGGAAATCTACCTTTTAACTAGAAAATATTTAATAACCTTGAGAAATACCAGCGAGTACATCCTGCAGGTGTTAAACGAACTGTCATGCCTTAAAATACGATGTGTATGTGACTGGAAGGACTTCTTAGCAATGCAGCTCCTGAGTTCCTCCTGAAGGTCACTGAGCAGTCGTAAGCAAGAGCTGCTGTGATGGCAGATGGGTTAACAACTACAGCAAGGCAGAGATATTTCGTAAACTGCTGAACAAGGGTTCATCGCGTTACTCAAGATAGCGGCTGTTGCGTTTCAGTTTTGCATGGGTTAGAGAAGTGCCAGAATATCAGTTGAGTGGCAGGAGAGCTGCACAAACCAACTCCTTCATTCAGTCTTGTAACTTAAACTTGGTGCCTCTTGTTTGGTGCCCCTTGATTATAACATAAGGGAAAAGTGAAACTGAAAAACAAAAAAAGCTTCATCTTTCTTGTGTGGAACCTTCAGTTTTTGAAAGGGAGAAGAGATGAGTGAAGGGCAGTGTCTTTACAGCCTCAGTGTAGAGGGAAGACAGGATTGGTTTGAAAAGGTTATCACAGAGCTACTACAAACTGCTTTGTCAGCGTCCATTCCTAGACCGGAGGGGGACTGGTGACAGTGATACTGTTGCATTGCCTGGACTGGTACCACAGATGTGATGGAGTTCCCGCTGTAGGAGCGGGCCGAGCCAAGGAGAAAACCAGTATTAACAGCTCCAGAAATGTGCGTGGGTGTTTGGGGTGGGGGTGATGTCTTTGTCGAAGGTTGTTGGTTTTTTCCCACTGATCTAAGCCAACTCTCTGATCTTGGTCTTAGCACAACGTGCAAGTAATTCTGTCTTCTTCACCAGGTAAATTTGAACCACCGTTATTCCACCCAAACGTGTATCCTTCAGGCACAGTGTGTCTCTCCATTCTAGAGGAGGATAAGGACTGGAGGCCAGCAATCACAATTAAACAGGTCGTTAATTGCACTTAGACATATTCTTAGCCCTTTAATTTGATTTGCTTGCTTAAGTTACGTGAACAAAAGATGTTCACTGCATGTGTCTGCAGTGGGTTGCTAAGGGGTTTTTAAGTGAACACCTCGGTAATATCAATGAATTGTCTCTCAGCGATATTCATGCCCATTACTTCTGTTCCTTCTTCCACAGATCTTGTTAGGAATACAAGAACTTCTAAACGAACCAAATATTCAAGACCCAGCCCAAGCAGAGGCTTACACAATTTACTGGTGAGTGTCTCTGCATGCCAGCTGGAAAGCTGGCACACTGCCTACGGCTGTCTGCTAATTGTTCTCTAACATCCAGAGGTCTTTAGGAATGGTCAGGGGAGTTTTATCCGTGGCCGTATCCTGTGGAGATGCGTAGCCTGTGCTCATCTTGAGCCAAGCGGTAGCTTCATGGTTGCCAGGCCAGCAGAGCTTCTGATAGCACAACAGCAGTACAGTCTGCAGGCTGCTTGGGTTAGACCACAGTTCTCGTCCTGACTGCAGCCCACCACAGAACCCTTTCCCCTGAAGGCTGAGTAGCTGCCATGAGGCAGAACGGTTTCACGAGACCACCAAGGGAGGAGACTGAGGTAGGGGACACGTCCTGCTCATCAGTACAGGAGTGACTTCACCTCTGTCCAGCAGCGCACGGCCGGCAGCGCTTGTGCCGGAAGGGTGAAGGAGAGCTGCTGGGATTGCTGTGGGAAATACGTGGCCTGTTGTGAAAACTACATCTTCCAAAAGAGTAGGGTAAAAAGCGCTGAGAACTGGGAGTTTTAGGAGAATGAAGGGTGCATTGGTGAGGAACAGTGCTCATCTCCGAGCTAAAAAGTACTAGTCTTAACGTTTTCCCACCATGAAAGATGGCTGGCTGGCCTGTGTTCTTGGGGAGGAAAACACTTGAAACAAATGCTCTTGGCACTGAGAGCTGCTGGAATGTGGCCAAGATGGAAAAGTGGCGTCACTGTTCTGGACAGACCAAGTCTCCAGGAGAGTGCCAGGCCTGGCATGGCATTTTGTGAGACCTCCCTTGCAAGCTGCGTCAGAAATGTCTGTTAGGGGATCCTGGTGGAAAGGAATCATGGGGATGGGTAGTGCGTCTTGGGCTTAACCAGAGGCTTCGCTCAGTGTCGTTTGTGAAGTATCTACTGAAGACTCGATGGGATCGAGTGCGTGTGGAGGGTGGTTGGTGGCCACAGTTGCAGGCAGCCCCTTGGGGAGCCAGCAGTGATGAGGCAGGGCCCCCTCTCCCTGCCTCTTTTTTCTCTTTGTTTTTTTTTTAAAAAGCCACTCTTGAGCGAGTATGTCTTAGTCAAGTTCTTAAGCTTCAAGAATAAGCCTTGTATTGAAAACAAGAACACTCGTTCTGGTCCTCAGGGTGCCGTCGCTCTAACCGCAGCACGCGGTGTGCTGACTCTGCTGCAGGCCTGTGGGGCCTGCTCTGGCGGGCGTTCCTCTGACGCCGTGCGCCTCGCGGCCACGCTGTGTTCACCTGTAACAACGCCCTGCTGTGAAAGAAAAATCACAGAATAGTTGGTAAATTTTGTTTATGAGGAGAAACGAGTGTTTTCAGTCTGGTTGCTGGTAATTGACCAAAACTGGCTTCATTTCTTCTTTGTCCCAAACTGTCAACTTCTGAGGACAGAATTTGCTGCTGGTTTTTTTACTGCAGCAAGCCTTTGCAGCCGGTAGTAAGCTAAGGTCGGCGCAGAGCTGCCTGCAAAGCCTGGTCACTGCAAACTCCTTTGGTGCTGGAGTAATGGCAACAAATTTTTGTTCAGCTCTGGACTGACACCTCTGACGGCTCACGCAGACTACGGTGTTGGGTGGAAATGCATGCTCTGCTAAGCTCCTACCACCCCTTGTTGGCCCAAGAAGAGAAAACAAAGAATTTGCCCTTTTATGTATTCAGTCTGAGGCTTAATGACTGGTCGTAGTTCCTTGAAGGTGGTACTTGCTCATTTAATAGATCTGTGCAAACATGCCCAACCCAGTGAACTGCAGTGGGTTCTTAAACGTGGAGCTAGCTTTCTTTAGCTCGAGGTTAGGATAAGCTATTTTCTTGTTTCTTAAAGAGCACTCGCCCTCTCCCCAGAGCAGTAAAGATGAGACTCTAAAACCATATGAAGCCCACCAACTGTTAGTGAAGTGCTCTCATCAGCCACTTTGTGCTGTCAGGATACCCAACTTGATTGTTGCTGACCTCTTAATGTGGGGAGTGGGAAACCTGATGGCCAGCTGGGTAAGGATGGTGGTGTGTAGGCAAGAGCTGGCCTGGAGAGTGGGTGCAAACCCGTTGAGGGACTGGTGTGGTACGATGTCAGCACAGTCAGTTAAGAACAGAGGCAGTTGGGGGAGTAACTGGTTAAGTTAACCAGCACCTTCTTCCCTCCAAAGGAAATCTGGTATCAGAGTAACGGTCCAGAAAAGCCTTCAAGGTATTAGAGCGGTTGGCGAATTCCCACCGCATGGTTTTGCCTGCAGCAATGGCTTAGTTTGATGCTGAAGAGAAACAGCACCGTCCCTGTAATACAGGCTCTGGTTCCTCAAGCTGTAACTACCCTTTCTCTCTCTTCTGTTCAGCCAAAACAGAGTGGAATATGAAAAGAGGGTTCGAGCACAAGCCAAGAAGTTTGCACCGTCATAAGCATCTGTCATGCAGCATCCTCAAAGGAAGGGATTGGTTTGGCAAGAACTTGTTTACAAAACTTTTGCAAAATCTAATGTTGCTATGTACAATTAATACCCACTTAGGGGAGGGGGTTGTATGTGTGCCATTTTCCATATTCGCCACTTGTATACAGTTCTAAATTTGCTGAATTGCCCCCAGTTTTTTCATACAGGGTCTCTTCCTTCAGTCTTTTGTATTTTTGATTGTTATGTAAAACTTGCTTTTATTTTAATATTGATGTCAGTATTTCAACTGCTGTAAAATTATAAACTTTTATACTTCTATAAATTCACTAGTATCTCTAGTTACTTTGCTATCTGACGCAGGCATGCTTTAAAATGGTAGAATTATATTTAGCCTCTAGCTGGCTGTATGAAAAAATCATGCCCTCCACCCCCTTCCCTCCCTGAATTTGTTTTTCTATCTTTCAGAAACTAGGTTGTTATTGCTTACGAGCCTCTGAGATCCAAAGTCAGCCAGCATCCTTATTCCGCATCACTTCCTTTGTGTTTATATGGCGTTCTGTCCGTGTTGCTGTTTAGAGTAAATAAACTGTTTATATAAAGGGCTTTGTTTCATTTATCTTCATTAAAGTTATAAAATGATGGCCACTTCGCTGGCGTGGAATGGGATTCGGTGCAAATCCAAGTTTTAAGGCCTGTGAAGTTGCCCGTACCTTTTGTTGGGATGTTGCCTTCCCCTCCTTTCCCTCTCCCACCCCTGGCATGAGTGTGGCCCTTCTTCGGGCTCCGAGTGGTGACTGCAGCTGGCTACAGCCTGTGGAGTTCTGAGCAGCTGGAGCGATGGCTTCGTGTGCCACCGGGACAGGCTGGTGTGACCCCATTAACCAACGAATGCCAGCGAACAGTAGAGGAAGGGGTCCGGGGAATGCGGGGACCTACGGCAACTGGGGATTTTACATGGTGTTTATCAGAAATACTTCTCTGCCTTTTCCTGTGCCGCTGTCTGCAGCTTTTTGGGAAAAGGACAGGCTCTATGCAGTTTCCTTCTGTGAAGGAGATCAGCCAAACGATGGAAGTTACTTTCATGTCTTTGATGTTGATATGCCTCCATTAACCTTTCACTGGGTTTCGGTTGTAGTTTTTAGTCGGAATCATTCTGCAAAGCCCGTGAGGCGTGAACAGCTTTGTTCCACCTGAGCTGCAGCATCTTCAGTGCTCCCGTTCTTGGAGGCGGCTGCTGCAGGAGAGATCAGCTCTTCGGAGTGGGTGCAGGTCCGTTCCGCTCCTCTGTGTTGGAGTACGACAGCTGCGGAGCGCAGATGTTCCCTCAGCTGGAACAGCTGACGCCCTCACACTCTTAGTCTTTGGAAAATTGCTGGAGCAGGATTGCTTCCTTGTCACTGGCCAGGAATCCTTGTCTCAGCAGGTGATCTGGGAGACTTCATGTGCCTGAGGTGGGAAAGCGAATAATGGACAGAGTTGAAGTATCCCTGTCCAATGAATTAACTTGGGTTCTCTTTTTCTTTTTCAAGGGAAGGGGAGTATTTGCACCGCTAAAGCTGCTGCTGACTCCCAGCCCTAGCTCCAGGAGGGCTGACGTTTAGCGAAGAGTTGAGAGGAACTTGTGTCACGAAGGTAAGGTCGTGAGCTGTCCTCAGCAGCTCCTGTTCTGCCCAAGAGTTGCTCAGGTTTAGGGTGAAGGTGCACGTGGGTGCTGGAAGCCCAGGGGAGCGTCTGTTGACACGTACAGAAACCCCTGCCCAGGGCAGACTGACACGCAATGGGCATCTGGCAAATCCGCAAGAGCCGGGCCCGGTATTTCCCACGTGGCGGTGTGCGCCTTCCGGTGAGGGGAACGGGGGCAGGTAGCGGTGCGGAGCCCATGACCTGGGAACAGCACGGCATGTTCGGAACACAGCGTGCCCAGCGCTGGGTTGTGCTTGGGACTGTCGGGCAGAGAACAAAACCAGCCTGTGAAGGTACGGAAGAGACCAATGCTGAACGCGATTCCAGGGAGCCCTTCTTGTCAGCTGGGCTAAGCCGTGCTCCTGGAATTAGATGAAGTACAGGCGCAGACCGCAGGTCTAGGCCTGCGGAACGCACAGCACAGGAGCTCTGTGGGGGGACAGCAGCTCGGTCGTGTTAAAGTGCAGCCCGGCAGTTAGAAGGTTGTACTTGATGTCGCATTGGGTAAAAATAACCCCTAGACGCCGTTTTCCAGACACACTGATTAGGAGACAGGTTTTTTTTAAAGTTGTAACTAAGCTTCATGCTCTTTAATAATCAGCGCTCCATAAACAATTATCTACAGATTCTGTAGCCTGAAGCCTTGACGTGCACAGCCAGCCCGAGGTTCGCTTCCAGGCAGGCACGTGCTACGCCCCAGGCTGGAGGGGAACAAGCCACGCGGTTAACAGGTCACAGGAAAGTGGCTTTACACAAGGTGTTACAACTCCGGGGTCGCCAGGGCTGTTCAGGTTCCTGCAGCGTGGCGGGTGGGTGGCTGTTGGGTTGTTTCACTGCTCAGATGGCTGATTTCTTGGGTGCTGTTGCAGCAACGTCACGGCACCATCATCTTCCGGGCTGCTCTCGCCGCTGCTCTCGGTGGCATCCGGAGTGCTCCTGCTGTCCTCTGAGTCTGTGCTGCTTTGTGCTAGTCTGGAAACGCTTGTCAGGGTTATCAAAGCAAACCAACTTGTAGTAAGAAAAATAGTATTTAAGTGTCATTACCCAGGGGGAGCGATTGGTCTGTTGGGATTACAAAATTCTCTTCCTGAGTCAACATCAAATGGATCTGGAAAAAGAAAGAAAAACCACACACGCTAATGAAGGCACATTTTTAGTGGCCTGTCTGTTCTCATTCCATAAGACAGAGTTATTGGCAGGGAGGGGAAACCAGAGGAAGTCGGGTTCAGCTCTCCGGTGAGCGTCCATGGTGGTTTGGTGAGAAACAACTGCCGAGTCTTGTCCCTCCCCACCCCCCCACTCAAGTCTTTTCACTCTTTCTGTGCCCCCCAAGGGGTTCAGTAGCTTTTAGGGGTTTCTAAGGGGTTCAGTAAGAAAACAGGGATGTTCCCAGGGTGGTTTAGTTCTGAAAGGGCTGTGGAGTTGAGCTCACACGTCGTGAGCAGCCCAGGACAGCTGTCCAGGCTTAGCTCTTGCTGGGTAAGGGCTCACACAGCTGGGGGGAGCTGTTACCTCAGAGGAGTCCAACAAGGTGTGACAGTGCTGGGACTCGCCTGCCCAGTACAGCCTCACATGTCATGGCAGAGGAATCGGGGTGGAGAACACAGGGCCTGTCCACCACCTCACCCCACGAGCCAATGGCCTGTTCTCGTGGCACTTAACCACTGCGAACATGGCAATAGCAGCGTCTCTCTTTGTATGCTCTCGATTGTTTGATTTGGTGGGTTTTGTGCTGACTGAATGAGAGCAGACACTCACCTGTGACTACAGCAGGAGATCCTGGCCTACCGCTACGTTAGTGGAAGATTTTGGGAACAAGCTACTCTACTCATTACAGGCTATTTTCCTTATCTTTACAGGTTTGCTCTTAAACATTTTGGTGAGGGACTACATACACATGCCTACTAAAGGTTTAGGTTAGTGTGTAATGAACTTGCTGTCCGACTGTATGCTTACAGTCCTTCGGAATTACCAGTCTCTTTACTCCTGCTCTGCTTTTAACATGTAGGTAAAATGCAGAAGCACTGTCTTTCCTCAGTTCTTCAATATCCTTAACTTGAGGGTCGCTGCTCCAGAGTTCAGCTGTGAATACACTACTGTGTGCATTAAATTGCTTTAATCTTTATCACCTTTTTGAGAAAACAGGCAAACTCGCCAGTAAGAATATACAGGGAGGAGACAGCCCAGCCCAGCAAAGCTCATCCTCTGCCTTGCCAATGTTTTCGTGAGATGAAAGGAAAAGATTGTAAGGAAACGAGTCAGAACAAGGGGGGTGGTGGGGGGGGGGGGTCTATGGGTTTTCTTACCCATTTCTTCTTCTTTTGTTTCTTGGACACTGGCTAAAAAGTCCTTTTCAACGCTCAGCACTTCCTCCTGGCAGTGACAGGCTGCGTATTTTTCCAAGAGGTTTTTGTTTAAGTCAATAAATGTCATACCCCACTTAAATTTCTGTAGAAGAATGGTGGCTAGGTCTGTGAATCCTAAAACAGAAAACAAATGACCAGTTTTCTTTTCCCGCCTGCGATTTCTCTCAGCTCACAGGTTTTTCGGTCCAGCACACAGATCTGTATGGCTACAGCAGCGAGACATTTGCTGGCAATTTCAGCGGTCAGGGATTCAGACTTTGCAAGATTACAGAACTCAAGTTTCAGTATAACTTGAGCTATCTGACTGAATCCCAGGGAAGCTGTGTCTTTCAGCACTAGGAATGCTCCCAGCTCTAGCTCCCACAGCCCTTCAGCGAGAGCAGCTGTACCCCCGCTACTTCAGAAGGGGTGGCTGCAGCACAGAACGGCTCCTGTTGCCAAGGAAGCTCCGTGCTGAGTCTGCACATCGCCAGAGGCGGCAGTTTGTTCTTCACCGGAGCCCACACTGTCCACAGAGCTGTTACCGCTCCTTCAAAGGCACCTCACGATCCACTCTCCTAACAGTAAGTGCCATCCTGACAGAACCAGGGTCATCGCTGTGTCCTGTTCAGCAGCTGATGACCACCACACAGCCACCTCGATGCTACCAGACACAAGTACTGGGCAGAAGCCAGACTGTGACTCCACACTCGCTGGGCCATGACCAGCGGGACCGCATTCCAGCTTACGCTGTCGCAGGTCATCTCTCCCGACTTACTAAGGATGTAAGACCTGCTGGTAACCTGTTGCACACCAAGTACGTTGCAGCCTACTAAGGATTTAAGAACTGCTGGTAACCTGTTGCACACCAGCTACGTTGCAGCCTACCAACGATGCTGAAAGCTGCAGCAAAAGCTTCCACGCAGGACAGCTTCCACGGCCGGCCGTAGTTCACAGGATTCGCAGCCACCAAGTAAGGCAGCAGCCGCAGGTGACTTCCCCTCATTTTCTGAAAAGGAGTTTCTTCCAGTTTGGCCCACGAGCAATCTATGACTGCAATTCCGCTCTGAGCAATGATGTGCCTAGAAAACAAAACATCATTGTGTTGGGAAAATTGTTACTACTGCATTGGTAAAATTAAGTGGGAATTGCAGCTGCTGCTTTATACTGGCAATGTCTGCAGACGCCCCCCTGTCAATCCAGAAAGCGTGTTTTACAGGGAGCTAAAGTACAGAGCAGATTACAACATGCTTTTCCTCCCAACATGCACATAGCAAAACAAGGTTCATCTGCATGTTTCAAACGGAAAGTGCAAAATTCTAGGTTTAAAACATGACAGAGGAGTGTGGTTTATAGGAAGGTTCTCGGTCTGGGAAGCACTGCGAAGTTCAGGTTCTCAGCTTCTACAGACGCATCGTTTCTCTGAGTAAGTCCTTTATGGAGCCCTGCAGGCGCGCTCCAGTAAGTTTCTCAGCGTTCCCCCCGGGTAACTTTTCTAGCTGACGCACTGTGCGGCCCGGCTGGGGAACGTGAACACGGCATCACGACACGGTAGCTACAGGCCTGCGAGCCTGAACGAACCGACTTACAAACCACACCCGTGGATTCCAGGGCTGCTTTTTCCAACCGATCCCAGCCGTGCAGACGTTCACCTGACTGACTGCTACGGCTGTTTTCTCGTGTTGGAGCAGCAGTGGCACAGGAAGGTGAACTCCATCCTGTCGTAGAGCGCTGGCCCTGAATCGGTGATTAAAACCTTCTCCCTGACCACCGGCGCTGCAGCGCTGGAACCGAGCCCCGTCCCCGCCGGCTTCCCAAGCAGGCCAGGAGGTCAGCGGGCGGCGGCCCCCCGGACTGACCTGTCGGCCGGAGAGACGTACGCGGTAGCCAGCGGGCTCAGGACCAGGCCCGGGAATCTCTGCCGGAGGCGCAGGGTGCGGAGCAGCCCTTTCC